ATAATTTTTAATATGGAAAAAAGGGAAATTTCCCATATTTCTTAGTCTAAAATGTTTTATATCATAAATCTAATTTTTAAATTTATTTTTTAATAATTGCACTATAATTTTTAAAATTTAATTTAATTTTTAAGTTTAAATCTTTTGAACCGACTGACCAAACCAAAAAATCAACCCAAACCGATTCAACTTGAGTGGGCCAAATAGCCTATGACCGAACCGAACCAACTCATGAACACTCATAATTTCAACTAAATTAATAGTCTTATCTCTAATAAATAACAATAGTTTAATCTCCAATAATTATTAAAAATTTATAGCAAAAATACCTAATTATTGAAAATATGTTGATAATAAAAATATACAATAAGTACTAAAAATATATTAACTTAGTCAATAAATAGTATAATCTCAAATAATAGTTTAGTCTCTAATAAATACTAATCAATAAGTTATAACAAAAATACAATAAATACAATAAGTACAATAAATTAAATTTAAAAATTTCAATAATAGTAGTTTAATCTTCAATAATTATTGAAAATTTTCTATTAAATAACAAAACAAAAAAATTTATACATAATCATTGAAAGTACATTTATCACAAAAAAAAATAATAAATAATTACTGAAATACAATAAATATTAATTTTAGTATATATAATTATATAATAAATACAGATTAAGAGTTTAAAATTAATATTAATAAATATTTTTTTTGAAAGTTATTTTCTCGAATTATTTTTCTACTATTCAGATTTTTTTATAAATTTATTACATAATTTCTTTATTTCAACTATTCAAAATCTAGTTATGTTAAATGTTTTGTTATTTAAAATATTTAGTTATTTAAATACCTAAATAATAGAAACTATTTAAAATTTAAAATATTAATCATTTATTGAATTTAATTATCCATAAAATCATAATTTATACTATTATTACATAATTTCATTATTAACTTTGTAATATATTAAATTATTATTAATTTCAATATTATGTTATAATTATTTTTCTGCTTTAAAGAAAAAATTTTTAAATTTATTACATAATTTCGTTATTTTAACTATTTAAAATCTAATTATTTAAATATTTAAATAATCTATAAAATATTTAAATTTTTTTGTTATTTGAATTTTATTTATTTAAAGCTACTACATGTTATTTAATATTTGAAAAACATTTAAATTGACGATCAAGAAAAACATAATTTAAATTGTTAGTATTTAATTTTGTGACATATTTTGTAAAAATATAAAATTATTTATTGGATAATTTTTTTATTTTAACTATTTAAAATATAGTTATGATAAATATTTAGTTATTTAAATATCTATTTTTTATTATTATTTGAATTTTATTTATTTAAAGCTATTACATATTATTAAATATTTCAAAAACATTTAAATTAATAATCCGGAAAAACATAATTTCAATTGTTAGTACATAGTTTCGTGATATATTTTGTCAAAATATAAATTATTTTTTGTATTTTTAATAAATATTTTAATGTTATTATTTAATTTTGTTAAGAGTTTTTAAATAATTCTTAAATTTTTTAATCCAAACTTTCTTTAGATAGATATAGATAAATAGTAGGAATTATAGATGATTTAAGAGAGAAACTCTATACTAAATTAGAAATAATTTTGGAGATAAATATGAATTAGAGATAATTTAGAAGGTAAATAGGTATTTGAGATAATTCTGGAGAAAGTGGGGGAGATAATTTAGGATAAATTTTTGGAGAAGCGATTATTTAGGTTATTGGGAAGGTGCATCTCGTTGGTTGTTTCAAAAATGACATGGAATTAATTTCTTGACCGCTTTGTTTTAATATATATACTAGCGGGGACCCATGCGATGCACGAGATTTATTAAGTGAAAGCTAAATAATAGAAAGGGTTATTTACTAAAATACCCCTTATAGTTTCATGAATTTACTAAAATATACCCTATTGTTAAAATTTTACTAAAATTTCATTTATAATTTACAATGGATTTAATCAATCTTCCATTAAATGATAGTGTTGACCCTAATGTTCATTTAAATAAATTTAATAAAAAATAAATAAAAATAATTTATCAAAAGGTCAATCGGTTTCAGCTGACCAACTTCCCAACCTGATCAGGTCAATTTGGTTGGCCAAATTGCCTACGACCGAACCTTACCAACTCATGAACACTTATAATTTCAACTAAATTAATACTCTCATCTCTAATAAATAACAATAGTTTAATCTCCAATAACTATTGAAAATCTATAACAAAAATATGCAATTATTGAAAATATATTAATAATGAAAAATACAATAAGTACTAAAAATATATTAACTTAGTCAATAAATAGTATAATCTCAAATAATAGATTAATCTCTAATAATTATTAATCAATAAGTTATAACAAAAATACAATAAATTAAATTTAAAATTTTCACTAATAGTAGTTTAATCTCCATAATAATTGAAAATACATTTATCACAAAAATAATAAATAATTACTGAAATACAAAAAATATTAATTTTAGTATATATAATTATATAATAAATATAGATTTAAGAGTTTAAAATTATTATTGATAAATATTAATTTTTTTGAAAATTATTTTCTCGAATTATTACTTGAAAGTGTAATTAGTTATTTACAATACTATGTAGAAATATTAAATTATTATTAATTTCAATATTATGTTATAATTATTTTTCTACTTTTCAGAATTTTTTAAATTTATTACATAATTTATTTATTTTAACTGTTTAAAATCTAGTTATGTTAAATATTTTGTTATTTAAAATATTTAKTTATTTAAATACTTAAATAATTTGTAAAGTATTTAAATTTTAAAATATTAGTTATTTATAGAATTTAATTATCCATAAAATCACAATTTATACTATTATTACATAATTTCGTTATTAATTTTGTAATATATTAAATTATTATTAATTTCGATATTATGTTATAATTATTTTTCTCCTTTAAAGATTTTTTTTAATTTATTACATAATTTTGTTATTTTAACTATTTAAAATCTAGTTATTTAAATGTTTAAATAATCTATAAAATATTTAAATTTTTTTGTTATTTGAGTTTTATTTATTTAATGCTATTACATATTATTAAATGTTAAACATTTAAATTGATGATCCGGAAAAACATAATTTAAATTGTTAGTACATAATTTTGTGATATATTTTGTAAAAATATAAAATTATTTATTAGATAATTTCATTATATTAACTATTTAAAATATAATTATGATAAATTTTAGTTATTTACATATATAAATAATCTATAAAATATTTAATTTTTTTTTGTTATTTGAATTTTATTTAGTTAAAGCTATTACATATTATTAAATATTTGAAAAAACATTTAAATTGATAATCCAGAAAAACATAATTTAAATTGTTAGTACATAATTTTGTGATATATTTTGTAAAAATATAAAATTATTTTTTGCGTTTTTAATAAATATTTTAAAGTTATTATATAGTTTTGTTAGAATATTTAAATAATTCTTAAATTTTTTAATCCAAACTTTCTTTAGATAGATATAGATGAAAAGTAGGGGAGAGAATAAATAGGAACTAAAGATAATTTAGGAGAGAAACTCATTAAATTAGAGATAATTGTGGAGATAAATAGGAATTAAAGATAATTTAGAAGATAAATAGGAATTAGAGATGATTTTGGAAAAAGTGGGCGACGTAGTTTATGATAAATTTTAGAATAAGAGATTATTTAGCTTATTGAGAAAGTGCAACTCATTGGTTGTTTCATGATATGAAATAAAAAAAAATACAAAAAAATTCAAAAATAGAATCGGATTAAAACCAAATCGGATAGGATTTAATCCAATTTGGGATCTTTGATTGGATTCGGATTTTCCTTTCCACTAATTGAATCGGTCTGGTTACAGCCCGAGTCTGTACGTACAGGATGTGATGATGACCAAATAAGAGGAAAATGAGGTCACAAGTAGCTTCTTTTCCTATGCCGCATTGGAAATCAAGAATCATGATCAGTATGGGGAAGACACTTCGCATTTTACTGTCATAAAGCACAAACACTGGCCTGTAAGACTCTGACCTCAAAAGTCGGAATAACATTGATTATCAAGGGTTGAATATATCTAAACAAATAAAACAAGTATCATAATCTGAATCATTTTGGACACATAAAATTAAGTCAAGAGAATTGAATTTTTTGTCCTCTTACTGACGCTGCACCAGGGTCCTACAACCAGCAAAAACAGGACCCTTTTACCTAGGGCTGTTGCATGTTTTCTGCTTGGCCTTCTCAATCAAAGTCTTCAACTGCTTCTTTTCAGCAAGAATCTTGAAGAAGTTGAACAAAAATGGTATGTAGTTGTGTTTCCGACGAATGTTTTCTGTTCTCCACTTCTTGAATTTCTCCTCCTCCATCAATATCTTCTCAGTGGCACTCTCAATCCCAGCATTTACTTCTGAAAGTGATCTGTTTAGTGCCTCAATGCTACCATTGTCTACCATTCTCTCTGACTGTACAG